TGACAGTGATTTCCTAGGGCTATGCATGATGGCCAATAGTATCCAGCAACCATTAGTAGAGTACTTTCCAGTGTCTCACCTAAGGTGGCTTTGTGGCAGTGAGATTCCAGTGAGACACTCTCTGTGACCAGCTTTCTGCAGAATCTTAGGAGATGGATTCCCACCAGTTCAGTAATCCTGCAGGATTGGGGTGTTATCTGCCAGTTAGTTGAGTCTCATCCATACTCATTGTCTGGATTTCTGTCCTGCTAGGAGGGGTACCTCTCTCCATTAGTGAATACAATCTTATACCTGTTTTTTCTACTGGCCTTAACCCTTCATCACTATAAGCACCTACTATGTTGTAATTGATGTATGATTTTGTATTTTGTTGTTACAATATCTTACATTAAAACTCTGCATCTTGCTTACAAAATTCATAACTATTAAATTTTCTTAACAGGAAGTTTTAATTTTCTGCATTTATAAATTGGAATAAAGAGTGACATGTTGTTATTCATTTAACTATTTACCCTACCATTATTCATTAACATACATATATACATACGTGTGGCGTGTGTGTGTGTGTGTGTGTGTGTGTGTGTGTGTGTGTGTGTGTGTGTCTATATGTCTGCAAGAACCTGAGGTCAGAAGAGGCATGTGATCACTTGGAAATGGAATTAAAATGTCTGTGAGCCACTATACATGTGCTGGGAACCGAACCCAGGTCCTCTGAGAGAGCGCTTAGCTCTCTTAAGTACTGAGTCATCTCTTCAGCCCCTACCATCATGTAGTTTGTTTATGAAGTTGCTCCAGCCATGGCCATTGTCTTAGGGATTTATTTCTGTGAAGAGAGACCATGACCACAGCAACTCTTATAAAGAAAGCATTTATTTGGGGTGGCTAGCTTACAGTTTCAGAGGTTCAGCCCATTATCATCATGAAGGGGATCATGGCGGTGTGCAGGCAGATGTGATGCCAGCTACATCTTGACAAGAAGGCAGCAGGAAGTCTATCGACTGTCTACGTGGTTTCCTGAGAAGTAGAAAACTTTATAGTCCACCCCACAGGGACACACTTCCTCCAACGAGGCATACCCACTCCCACAAAGGCACACCTCCAATAATGCCACTCCCTATGAGATTATGGGGCTAATTACATTCTAGCTACCACAGCAATTCTGCAGTTATGGACAGCTATGAACATAATTATGACCAAGGCATCTTAGGAAAGAAAGCATGTAGTTGGAGTCTTCTTACAGTTTCAGAGGACGAGTCCATGGCCATCATGATGGGAAGCATGGGGACAGGCAGGCAGGTGCCAGAGCAGCAGTTGAGATCTTTATGTCTTGATCTCCAGGCATCAGGCAGACAGAGTGACACTGGGCCTCTTGTGGGCTTTTGAAACTTCAAGACCAACTCGCAGAGACACACTTCTAACACTGCCATACTTCCTAGTTCTCCAGTCCTTCTCAAACAGTTACGCTCCCTGGTAACTAAGCGTTCAGAATATGAGCCTATAGGAGACATTCTAGTCCAAACCACCACGGTCTTCTATTGATATTTAATAAGGATCTGGAGAAACAAATACACCAAATGGATGTTTATTCAGAGAGAAATAACATACAACATAGATAGATGAACGCCAGCAGGTTCCTGGTCCCAAGGATGCCACCGGATGTACCCCTGTCCCCGTGCTGCAAGTAAGAGAGCTCTCCGAGCCCCCCCCCCCAGCCTTAGTTCCCCCAGGCAACATCCGCCCCTGTCTGCACCCCCCCAATGGGCGTGGTCTAAGCCACAGGTGCGGACAAGGTGAATATCTCACTACAATCTCCCATGTATTTTTCTCCAGTTCTTGTATAAACATTAATTTGATTCAGGTTGTTAACCCAATCCTATTTTGCCTACAATTATTTTAACTGCAATGCGGCGTTTTATAGACCATTTGCACTTAGCACTTGGATGCATAGTCACAACACCATTTTAGGTTTGTTTTTTCCTTGCCCGTTCCCTTTAGCTGGCCTTTGATATTTATTGACACAAGTTCAATCGTGATTCTATTCTATTCTACCTCTGTCTTGGGTTGATTTTGATTTTTTTTTACTCATCATCTCATAACTGAAACTTTACAATAGCTGTACAAGAACTATCCTAAAGAAGTACCATCCATGCCTTATCCATAACTTCTCCCTTTTCTTTACCCTTCTAAATGTACCCCACCTCAGGTGTTAGTAAACAGTCTTTTTAGTTTCTGACTTACAATTTCTGTATTTGCTTTGCATAAGTATAGAAGTTTGTGTGTGCTTATATCATATCAGAATTTTGCAAGGTGTAGAAACAGCAATGTGTAAAGTAATACTATTCTGTGGCATTACACATATACGAAAGATATTATTACACTGGCGCATACAATTAGAGGTAGAAAGTCCCATCGTGGCTGGGGAGCTGCTGAGTGTAAGAAGCTAGAAGCTATGAAACAAGAAGTACCAACAATGCAGCTCCTGACTGAGAATAAAGATGGCACTTCCAGGGCAGGTGCTGATGCGAGTGAACAACTTGTCCTCTGTTTTTCTCCACCTGAGCTCTAAGCCTTTTGGGTGGTATTACCTACAGTTGAGGTATGTCTTCCCTCTTCCTTGGGTGCTGTCCTGGAAACATTGAGACACACACATAGGAGGAGGATGCTTTGCCATCTCTCTGGTTACCTGTCTCCCATACCAATCATGTCAGTCATGACTCACTATCAAAAGATTGCCTTCAATGTAATCAAGTTGTTTATTAAGACTTACCATAAAACGTAGCACTATTATTATGAAAGACGATTTTTCATTGAGTAGTAAAATAGTTTTCTTACGTTAGATGCTTAGCTCATCATTTTTACTGGCTTTAAACTCTTTTACCTTATTGATGAACTGTGAATTTATTTAAAAATGATACTTAAGCTATGTTCTAGAAGAATCCTCATATGAATATTCAAGTCTAGGCATGTGATATGCCCAGTAATAATCCTTTTAAATATCTATAAAGTATTCTTCTTTGAAGGAAACACCTACATAGACATTTCCTAATGGTTATTTTCAACTTTTTTCATCTTAGAAAATTATCATAACTGTTGCAATTTATTCTTACCACATACTAACTACAGGCATTTTAGAGTTCCCTTTACAATTTGGTCAAACTCTTTTATAAATAAAAGCCATAGCAAAAATGGGACAGCATGATTTTTCATGGTATGTTTTCCTTTAGAAAAATCAACCATGTTGAAAACCTATGTCAAAGTAGTTAATGTGAAGGCATTGTGCAGTCTGGGGGGGGGGATGAAGGCAATGGTCTTTATTCTCAACCGTATGTTCCCTTAACCTGAGAATTTCAGGCTTGATAAGGAGAAGTAGAGGCAAACCACAAATGGGAAACAAGAAATGCAAAGAAGAGAAGCTGTAGAGGAGGTAAGAACACACACAAAAGAGAGAGCACGAGATGAGGGATCAGAAAGTGGAAGTCAGTGCAGCCTTGAGCAAGATCACAAGTATGTCTCAGCAAGAGTGTGGAGAAGTGCAGAAGAAGGGAGGAGAAGCAAGAGAAGGCTATGCTCAGCCTGCCATAGGAGTAAGTGTGGCTTCAGTGCCTTTGGCTTCGGCACAGGAGTAGGAAATACCACTTTCAGAGGGCTCTCCACTTAGCTGCATGATTCCTTCATAGGCCACAAGACTTGGGCCTATCTAGTCTTTAGGGTCTGGACTCTGACACACCGATTCTACTTCAGATGCTCTCACTCTCTTCAGTGAATCATCTCATCATGGTTAAGGACACCTTTGTGTCTTACTGTATGTTAAAATCTTTTCAAATGACAGTAAACTAAACACACAAATTTCATTGGCCTTGATTCACTGAGTACTCCTGATTTGATTTTGGTTATCACAGATTTTTCTATTGGATTCCAACCTTAATTACCAACAGATCATACACCATACGTACTGCACACAAAGATATATGGAATACAGATGGCAAAGAGAAAAAGTGTCAACAGTCTTTTCAGAGAGTCAATATGGATGTAAAGAGTGATGGTAGACACTTGGATAAAATATTTATATAAGGAATAGCATTGATGAAGAGTCAGAGCAATGAGATGCCTAAGCAGCCCTCGTGCAAAAGGCAGAGCTGGCCCAGGTGCAATTAGGCCAGATATACTGTAGCCTCATGTGGACAGGTCATACTGAGCTCAGAGGTTATTGTTCATCAGCCCCATGTTGCACTTTGGGAAAGGCCCTAAGGCCATTCAGGCACTTCCAGATTCCAGTGCTGTTGGACAGCCCTTCTTTTTTTTTTACACAATGCAGATGGAGGGATTGCATCGTGGGTTGTCTTTTGTGTTTGCTAAGCTCACGGACCTGCTTTCTATGATAATGTTTTTGTTTGTTCATGTTCATAACTGATTAAGTTCTTATTTGTGTGAGTCAGTTATTCATCAGCATCCGGGCTAGTTTAATGTGGGTAACTGCCTGCATATTTGACTGTTTCCCTAAGCATTCTGCTTCTGTCTTAAGACCATCGCTTTTATCCAGTCCAGCTTCTCTTTCCCGGGTTTACAGCTGGTGTGGGGATGAGTGTAAATAGGAAAATGAGCTCTGTGGTGCTTCATGGAAGCAGGGAAAGCAGGCTCTTCATGTGCTTCTTCCAAAGGGCTTTGAACAGTACCAGCTATTCCACCCAGCAGAGCTACTAACAGGTATGGGGCTGTTCTAGAAAGAATTGTGAAAACATTAGGACATAGGGTCAAAGGCAAAGGTAATCTTAGAGGAAGGGATTTTTTTTTTCCTGTAAGTTTTCATGAGTCATCATTATTTCATGCATGTCTGCCTGTAGTCAGGCTCAAGGATAATTTTTTTCTGCCTAACTTTCTCTTTCTCTCTTTTTCTTCCTAGTGAGGAAAATGAAACCTAAGGGCAGTTTCCTGCTTTGAGTTTCAGTTTTGTTTCTTTGCTTGTGTTTCTGTCTTCTGTCTGCTCCCCAGCTCAGGAAAACGTCTATTTCATTTGCTCTCTGCTCCAGTCTTCTCCAGGTTCTGCACTGGGTAAGCACCTCCTGGCCACCTGGCTCTCCACTTGCCTGGTTCTCTTTGATCCTCAGGGAGAAGCTGGCAGGGTGACCAACCAACCACACTTTTCTCATTCATTTCTGTACTTACTTTAATGAAAATTTCACACATTACTAAGTTCAGGGAGGGTGAACTCTTAAAAAAAAAAAAAAACTCCAAATACTTCTATCACATTTCAGCTATGATTTGCTCCATTCAATTAGAATGCTTTGGAAGGAAAGTAGAAGCAATCTATGACTCTCTCCTCTGTTCCCTTCTTTACTTCTTTCACAGAGTGAAACATAATCCAGACATCATTACCATGTTTACTTCTGGGCATCTACTGTGTGTATTATGTATGAATGGAATCTTTGGTATTGCTTTGTGCTAGTATTTTATGTAAGTGGTGCCAGACCTAATTTCTTGTGCTTAGTTTGCATTTTAAATTAAGAGAAAATTATCTGACTTTTACCCATGTTTATTAAGATGGAGCTAGGCCACTAACATCAACTGCTGTCGATTCTTCATTGTGGAGGTGTACCAGATTTGTGTATCTGATCTATACATGTCTTCATAAACAGTATGGGTCTGAATATACTTTCCCCTGAACTCTGTGTGGACGATGTCAACAATCTTGTTTAGAATATTTGTCTCATGGGTATGTGTGTATGATCGATTGTTCATATGTGTACACACACATCCAGTGCCTATCGAAGCCAGCAGAGAGCCTCAGACCTATTCAAATGGGAGTTTCAGATGGTTGAGAGAGCCCTGGAAACTAAACCCTGGTCCCCTAGAACAGTGGCAAGTTCTTTGAATTGCTTAGCCATCTCTACAGCCTCCAATACCAGGAATTTTGAATCTCTGTATCTGGGCCAACTGTTGGCACCACTGAATATTTACTCTGATGTGGAATGTATTCAGCACAGAGTTGTATTACAAAATGTTTATCACGTTTTCATCACTTGTTACCTTTTTTGGGCCACCATATCTTTGATTTTTGCTCTTCACATTCTTGGGCTATTTTTATTCTATGTGGTTCATTGCTTCCTTATTCCTCTGTAAGATAGCTATGTAGACTATGCATTATAATTCACCAACTAGTTTTTTTAAATTGTGTCTTGCTATAAGGCAATCATTCATTTTCAAAGTCAATTTTTATCTTTCCTTTATAGCTTGTATCTGTAGTGTCTTATTTCAGACATCCAGTAATTAAGTTGCAGTGCAAAGATCCACACCAGAAACCCTGTTTATCTGAACTCAACAAGACTGAGCTATTGGAAAATAAAACAAATTCTGCATACCCTCAGTCTATCATCTCTGGATAAAGCTGGCAAAATGTTTTTTTTTTTTTTTTTGTCATAGTCCAAAATAACATTTCTGTTTTAGTCCTGTTAGTCTAGCTAGAGCTTTACTTAAGTTTTCAGCATTTCAGATGGCTGGATGTGTGTGTGTGTGTGTGTGTGTGTGTGTGTGTGTGTGTGTGTGTCCGCGCGCGCACATACACATAAGTGCACACTTACCACAGCATTTGTAGAGTTCAGAGGACAACCTGTTGTGCCTGTAATTGTCTTTCATTTTGTTTGAAGAAAGTTCTCTTGTGCACTACTGCATTGTAGCCTGCTGTCTGGCTCACATGCTCCTACATGGTCCACAGGCTCCTACCTGGTCCTCATGTTCCTATCTGGTCCACATATTTCTTCCTGGCCCACATGCTCCTACCTGGTTTGCATGCTTCTAGCTCACTCAAATCTTCAGGGGATTCTCCTACTTTTAGATCCCTTTTCACCATGGGAATAACAGTATTATAGATGACCACTATTGTGTCTGGCTTTACAAGAGTTTTGCTCTTGTACTTACATGGCAAACACTTTTCTCACTGAGCCATTTCTTATCCTCTAAGGTACCTCTCTGAAGCTGACATGTACAGCTCAGGGGAGTGTAATTCTAAATGTCAACTTTGCTATTCTGTGCTAAGTCTTCTAAATCTTAGCCTGTAATATAATTATTTACCAAACTTCCTATTAATTAGACTGATTGTCCAATGATTTTTAATACATTAAAAAGCAGTCTATACCATTTCTAAAAATTCTAGTAACTAGTGTAATGGCTACAGGGTTAGCTCTCACTGTGGGACTTACATACCTATTGATAACTTTCTTATTTTTATTATTTTCTTGTGAACTATTTCTGAATATATTTTCATCTCTGTCCTTTAATTCATGCGTTGGCAAATTACAGTCCATGTGTGGCAAAAGAATGTTTTGTTGACATGCAGCCATGTTCATCTGGTTAGATATAGAAGTAGTATGTTTTTGTTACTATAATAAAATATCTCAAACAAGGTAACTTTATAAAGGAAACAGATTCATTTAGCTCACAGTTCTCGATATCTAAAGCTATGTTGCCCAGACATGGTACATGTCTTCTTGGTTGTACCGCATCAAAGAGGATTTTTTCATGGTGGTATCATATATATGCAAAAGATATCAGAATCATAGACAATGCTAGACTTCTTTGGCAACTCTGTCATGAAAAAGAACTAGGATTCTCTGGACAATACCTTCGTTTCCTGGAAACATATGTTTCTAAATTGAAATGTCTATTTCTCACAAAGTCCTGTTTCTTTAATGTTCTATCAGTCAATACCTCATTGGGGGCAAAGCTCCAAACACATGAGTCTTGGGGTGAATCACACTTAAACGACAACACATGTTGTTTATAAATGTTATGATTACCATGGTGGACAAATAATCAAGGTAGAGACTATTGGATCCATAAAGCCTAGATAAATTATTCACTATTTGTATAATTAAGATATTTATTGATTACTAATCTTCCTTTCCTCTAGTCTGGAATTTACTCTGTCAGCCAATGGTAAATTTTATTTATTTATTTATTTACAGAAAAGTCTCCTATGTAATTCTGGCTGGACTGGAACTCACTATGTATTGTAGAACAGGGTGGCCTTATACACACAGAAATGTACTTACCTTTGTCTCATGAGTGCAGGAATTAAAGGAGTGTGCCATTATTTCCAGCCCAGTATTAAATTTTAATGCTACGTATCATTTCTAAAGTATCTACTTTTCATATGTAGTTGTTGTTTCTACATCTCTGCATTGTATTATTTGGCTTCAAAATACTAATGTGTTTCAGTTGCATCAAAGGACAATAGAACTTGCTGGAACTAAACAGTTGTAATTTAAGCTGCTGTATCATGGTAGTCACTCAGCTCCCTTTTGTTTTTCCATCAGTTGCAGGAATATGGAGGTTACAACCAGGTTGACATGGATACAGGAAAAGGTTCTGGAGAAACTACTTGGGAATACATCGTTGACTCTTCTCTATAAGTCTGGAGTTCATGAATTATGCACTCTTGATATGACCAAGAGATGTTCTCATCAGGGTTCCACAATGACAGTAGTTCACTTGGAGCAAGATGTTATGGGTATTTTTATGCTGGAACACTTTCCCGTTTTACATTCAGAAAAGCTAGGCACTTGTGTTTTGTTTGCATTTAAAAATAGTGACAGCGCTGAAATATCAGCTCTATTTTTTAATGCACAGGTAGAAATCAATGCTTCACAGCTGAAATTTTTATTACTCGATCACCGTGGTTTGTCTATCACCGTGACGCCAAGCAAACACAAACTTCATATGAACAGTGAAGTGATGCAAAAACTAAAGCTTAATCTTAAGAGCGTCTCTGAATATTTGGAGTGTGAAATTTTTCGAGTTGATGGTATGTACAAAAGGATAATCTAGTTCTAGTTACAAAAGGATAATTGGTTCTAGACTTCCCAGTTCATATATTATCATTGGTGTACACGGACAAGGAAAATTACCAATAAACATTAATCTGTTATGCAGGACTAAGAACTATGGGCTTCTGTGAACAAAGAAATTAAAGATGGATATGCATAAAGATAGAGATGGCCTTGCATCTGGCTCTCTGATGCACTCACCAACACATTTCAAACTTGCATTGATTTATGATTATCTTTGTTCTATAAAACTATAAAAAAGTTGCAATATGGAATTTGGGATAGCATACACCTGTGTTCCCAGGTCATGGTCAATACAATGACTCCAGAATACATTTATTCCCTTAAAAGACAGAGATGGAGATGCAGGGATTGGAGAGAGGAGAAGAGAAGTGGGGTTGGAGAGAAGAAAGGAGGGTGACAGCAGAGAGAAACTTTGACTTGCAAAGAGATGGATTTTTTTTTCTCTTCTTTCTCACCTTGAACCCTTACTTGAGAAGGCCAGGGTTATATAAACAGTCCAGCTGTGTTTAGGAAAAAGACTTGACCACAAAGAACCAAGCAAGTCAGAGCATACTATACTGTGTTTATTTTCTGTAGGTATTAAGGATGATCCTGGCTTCATAAAGAAGATGGTGAACGTCAAACAGTAGGTTACATTCTTGACCTGCTTGTCATTTATTTTATTTCAATTAATTATGATAAAAGGGCTGACAATGAACTAATAACAAAGATAAAAATTTCACATTTCTTGGAATGACATAAAGTTGTTATTGACAGACAATATTCCAGTTCATATCAAAACAAAATCTCTTTTTTCAATTTATAGATATGAATATATTTTTATTTCCCCTTAATATATTTTATTGCAAATAATCACTTACTTTCAGTGTCCATATCTTTCAAATATTTGTGTTATAAGGTTAACAATAGCTTGTTACAGGTTAGGATTTCATGCTGGGCAGTGGTGGTGCACGCCTTTAACCATAGCACTCAAGAGGCAGAGGCAGAGGGAGGTGGATCTCTGTGAGTCTGAAGCCAGCCTGGTCTACAGAGCAAGTTCTAGGACAGCTAGGGCTACACAGAGAAACCCTGTCTTGAAAAAAAAAACTCTCTCTCTATATATGTGAAAAAGAAAAAAAGAACAAAACCCTTCCACTCCAATATGTGTGTGATTTATCTAAGTGCAAAATACTTAACACAGGATGTTTATGTTTAGGGTGCTATATGTAATATATTATAGAGCTACTAGCAAAATAACCGTGTAGATAAACCCATCCCTAAATGAGAAGAAACAGAAGCTCTAGGCTAACTACACTGCTGTGAGGAAGACCTGCTGTTGCATTTAATTTCTGTATTCTTTTTTTATTTTTTTATTTTGCATATCGACCCCAGTTCCCTCTCCCTTCCTCCAATGCTCCCCTCCCCCTTCCCATCCTATCCCCCCCCTCCACAGGGAGGGTGATGCCTTCCAGGAGGGATCAACAAAATGACTAGGCCCTCCCTTCTGCCTCTAGGCTTAGGGAGTATCCCTCCATGGGGAATGTGCTCCCAAAGTCCTTTCGTGTTCCATTGTCAGAGGTCCCTTAGACTGCCCAGGCCTTCTAACTGAGATGCATAATTTCTGCATTCTTAATAGGCACAGAAAAAGGTTCCTGTCTGCTCTCAGAGCCTACAAGCCCAGTGGAGATGAGGTTTCAGAAGTCTGCATTCTCTTGGTGGGCCCTGTGGGTTCTGGGAAGTCCAGCTTTTTCAACTCAGTGAAGTCTGCTTTCTATTGTCACTATACTCACCAGGCTGCAGTGGGGTCTGATGACACCAGCATTACCAAACAGGTGAGCAACCTGAGGAGTGGCGGAAGATGGTGATTTACAGGTCGCAGTGAATGCATTTGCTCATTTCTTTGCAATTTTCCCCCCTCAGACATACACTTTTTCCTAATCTACAATCAAATGCTAAATAATTAAGTAAAATAGAAGTAAACATTGCATCAGAATTATCTCTATTCCATAATATTATCCAGAGAAGCATTTTGGTTTTACAGATCTGAGAATTAGTTACATAAAATATCTTATAGTGCTTGTTGCAACTATAATTACAAGACTATAGCAAGTTTATCAGTGGTTCTATATTCAAAAACACAAAATGTTTCTAATAATTTCATGAATTACATCTGGTTTCTTATGTGGATTTATTTCATCATATCAGAGTATTTGAGAAGTCAAAGCAAGATGATACAACAAGAATTAATTAAGCATTAATTGAAGTACTTCAGCAACCAAATTGTTCTGATGTCACAGATGGGTTTTGTACTTTCTAGTCGAGTACAGCATTAGGCCATCCTTTGGCACATTTGGAAGAACCATAAAGGCATAACAGCTTTGAACACTGAAGAAATTATTTTTTCAGGCTTCATAAGGTGGTACATGCCTGTAATCTAAGCCCTTGGGAGGCTGAGGTGGGGGGGATCAGGCCAGTTCCAGGCCACTATTTTAAAATATTAACTGATTTCTCTTTTGTCTTGAATGCTAACCAATATAGTTTAACTCAACAATTTTTTACAGTACAGGATATATTCTGTTAAAGATGGAGAAGGTGGGGAAACTCTCCCATTTATGTTGTGTGATTCAATGGGTCTGGATGAGAGGGACGAAGCAGGACTATGCATAGATGATATACCTCATATCTTAAAAGGCTGTGTACCAGACAGGTATCAGGTAAGATCTCTTCCACCCCAAGACACTTAAAATTGTTTCATTGCATCTCTACCCTACAAGACCATGTGAACTATCCTTTTATGATTCCAACATTAACACTACTCCACTTACAATGAATTTATATGTATGAGAGAAAGCTCAAGAGATGGTCCTTACAGTGTGTGCCATTGAGAATAAAACTAAATGCCAGGGCTTGACTTATTTGGATTCCAGGAGATGTTCATAGGACTGTTCTGTTTATATGATTCTTTCAATAATGCCAGCTGTGAGCAAAGAAGTCATTTAAGTAGCTAAACTATTGCTGGTTTAATGTTGTGCATGTATAGTTATACAGACAAAATGTTAGGCTAATTATCTGTTAATGTATTCCAGAAGAGTGAGGTGGTGCTATTACACGCCTAGACACTTTCAATTTCTAATCCTTTATCGTTTCCTCTCTCAGTTGAACTTGATTGAAAAGACTGACAATGTGTTCATTTTCTTTTTCATTTGAAATTATTTGTTAAAATCATAATTTGTTCTAGACACAAAGAGAATAACTTAAAAAGTCCACAGTTAAACAAGAGAGCAGGTATTATTTTCAAGTGACTCATAGTCTACTTAGGGAAAGGAATTGCAAAATTATAGGGAGGAAGAGGAAGAATCAGAAAGACAGGAAAGTCTAATCACTAAGACCCTCAGGTTTCATAGCAGAGAACCAGCCAATTCAGTTCAACACTGAACATGCACGCACGCACGCACACACACACACACACCCAGTGCACACTTATAAATTTTTGCTGTTTTGCAATCTATTCTCTCAATAACAGAAAGATCACTGTCATGTTTGTGGTAAGGAGAAGCTAAACTGGAAATTGATACTTCTTTAGTTTCACTTCATCTTACTTTGCCTTGAAAAAAAATAAGTAGAAATCGTAGCCTTTAAGTTTAAATGTCCTTTCATTATCTTTTCCCTGCCTGCCTCTGCAGACCTTTTAAGCATGCAAAATTCTCAAAAAGGGATTTTAAGATATGCGTAGCAAATCTTAATGGTATTTGCTTCCAGAGATTGGATATTTAAGTCATGTTTCTAAAAGTATTCTTTGCATTTCCCTTCAATAATTACAGTGATTAATCATCATTTTTATCAAAACAAAAAAGTCATTTCTCTTTAAGAACACTATGGTGAGATCTTGGCAATGGGAAGCAGGCAAGAAGGAAGCTGTAAATAAGAAACTGGGGAGAGAAGAGCGAGTGGTTGTGGTTTCTACTGTGGAGCCCAAGAAAAGTCTCTGAAAAATGAGCCTCTACCTGTGTTTCTGTCTAGTTCGATCCATGTAAGCCCATTAAGCCAAGGCACTTCACCTACGCCAAGCCTCCACCACTGAAGGACAGGATTCACTGTGTGGCTTATGTCTTAAACATCAACTCTGTTAACACACTGTCTGATAAAATGGTGGCAAAGCTCAAAAAAATTCACAAAGACGTAGTAGACTGTGGTAAGTCTCATTGTACAAACTTTGAAAAAATAATCACATTTCATAGAAAATTATAAAGGGAGTAATGAAGAGTCCCATGTTTCCCTTTGGTAAGGGTCCTGAGCTCCAAGTTCATAGCAAGTGATCATTGAAAGACTTGACTGAGAGGCATCTTCTTATCTGTTAGCCTTCAGAACTGAAGGACTAGGCTGTCTATAGTTATCTGTTGTCTGAAGGACTAGGCTGTCTATAGTTATCTGTTGTATAATTCTTTTGTAGTTTTTAAAAGGGCTCTCACAGGAAGTAGGTAGTAATATCAAAACCAGGGTGCTGACTCTGTTACACTATTTTATCATATGTAGCAACTCACGAAATTATGTCTACAACCTAGGATACAGAATTATCTCATCACTACAAGGATAACACACTGACCCTTCACCACCATTAACTTCTTGTAGTTACTTCTCTAAGGTTGTAAGCCTTCATTTGCTAATATTATGTAAATAGAATCATTTCTTATGGCATCTTTTGAGAATGACCATTTTAACTTGGCCTAACACCACTTTAAGTCCATAGCAGACATTTTATGTAGTGGCTGCTTACTCAATGGCTGTTGAGTAATATTCCCTGGTATAGTTACATCAAGTTGTGTTTAACCATTGCCTAGTTTTAGGTATCATAAATAAAATGCTTCCAAACATAGGTGTTTTTATTTTGTGGGGGCATAGTTCCCCAGGGACAAGACAGATATATTATATAAAAAGTGTATGTTAATTTTTTTTAAAAAAAAATCACAAAACTGCTATTCAGAGAACTGATACTGGCACTATATGGCTGATCCAAGCTTTCTGCATCCTTTCTATTATTCACTATTAATTCACTCTTAAAAATTAACTTCTGCAATAGATATGTACAGATTTGTCACCATGGTTTTAACTTTATTTACCTAGTGATCCAAGCATTAATTATCTTTTCACATAATCACTGGCCTCCTATATATCTCTAGTAAAATGCTTTCTTTCATATCTTTCACCAGTTTTTCTGATTAATTTATTTGTATGTTTTCTTTTATGTTGAATCTTAAGAGATCCCTTGTCTTAGTGTAATATTTTTGTGAAGAGACATCATGACCATGGCAACTCTTATAAAGGAAAGCATTTACCTGGGGCTGGCTTAAAGTTCCAGAGTTTTGAAATACTTCACTATGAAATCATAGTGAAGAGCATGGCAGCAGACAGGTAGACATGATGCTGCAGAAGTATCTGAGACTTCTACATCTGGATCCTCAGGTAGCAGGAAGAGACTCTGGGCTGGACTTGGACTCTTGAGACCTCAAAGCCCACCCCTAGAGACATCTGTCCTTCAAGAAGGCCACACTTCCTAATCCTTAGGAACTCTGAGCATTCAAATATATTAGCCTACAGGGCTGTTTTTATTCAAATAACCATATCCCTAAATTTGAGTCACTGTCAGACACATGGTTTGCAAGTAGTTTCTCCATGTCAGTATCTATATTTTTTGTTTTGTTTTTCATTATCATTAATCTTGGTTCTGCCATCTCTCATTCCTCTAGGAACTCTTATGGCATGACTACTAGGTCTTTTACCATAGACTGCCTATTTACTTTTCTGCATATCTAATGGACACTTAATGTAACTGTATATGGAAACATCTCTGAAACATTGGTGGATATGGGGTATGACTGAGTTAGAGGAGTGCTAAGATTTGAAGTCAGTTTTTAAGGACATATGGCATTACACCATCATGTTATAAAGTGATGTTTAATGAGAGCCTTCCTCGGGGAAAAACACTAATTGGTTTAATTGGTTGTCTATTTCCAAAGAGTCACAACTGAAAATATACATACAGGTAGATACAGCTGATATTTAGGAATACATATGTATATACATCTATGCATGCAATACCAGTAAAAAATAAAAATGAAGCTATAAATTTGAAGGAGAGCAGGGAGGGTACATGGAAGAATTTCCAGTGAGGAAATGGATAGGAGAATGTTGTAATCAAATTATAGTCTCCAAGCGAGAGGGATGAGGAAGGGGGTAGAGTGTGAATTTTGAAAATAGCAGATCTGCACGCTTGAGGGAGAAGGTAGCAAGATCTCGACTGAACTTTGATGTCAGTGTAGCTGGCTGGTATACACTCTCCCTCATTTTGTCTCTTTCCTTGTGTTTCTCTTTATTTTAATGGTGCAGTAGCCACGTTCCCCATTTTAAAAGCATACCAAGGTTTTAAACTTACAGTGAACTTAGGTATGTCTCAAAGTAAGCTCTTCTTTTGGAAGGAAATGACCTTTAGAAGAAGATCAGACTCAGATTTACTGGGGATATTTCACATCCCTCTCTCCAAACCATCTCACAGAAAGCACTGTTCATTCATACATATATACATTTAAAAATTATCTTGAAGTATTACTATAATAATGATGTCTGTTTGATACAGGTGTAGGACAAGTAGCCCTGCTTACCAACGTGGATAACTGTGACGAAGTTCTTGATGACTGTTTTTTAAACATGACAGAAAGTGTGACTTCTCAAAGCCAGGTAAAGAGTGATGTTTATGATCAAGTGATACAGAATAACAGCCACATGCTCACTTGCTCCTCTCGCTCTCTCTCCTTCTCATCACCACTGTGTGTATATGTATATGCACGCGTGTGTTTGTATGAGTGTGTGTGAGCATGAGCATGTGTGTTTATTCATAGGTGAACTGAGAATTAGATCATGATGAGTTCATTTCTGCAGTATTGTAATGCCAGACACTCAGGAAGCTGACATAAGAAGATTGCAAGTTTAAGGTCCGTTTGGAATGCAGAGTAAATTCAAGACCTTGTCTCAAACTAAAGAGTGAAAAGGGACTGTAGATATAGCTCAATGAGGGAGTACTTACCAAGAAAATGTGAGGCCTCAAGTTCAGTCCTCATTAATACAAAGAACTGGATTGATTGCTCAGTTTGCTGCAGTTTATATTTCATTTACAACTATAAGTATCCATAATCTACATAAATGTGATTGTATTCTGAAGAGTATTCTGTCCTTAATTGTGTTTAATAATAAGTCAAATTTCTAATATTATCTACTTCATACATGCACAAATATGTGTTTCACAAATGTATTTTTACATGAAATGCATTTTAAATATGTTTTCCACAGGTGAAGAAAGTGCAAAACATGTTCAATATTCCTATAGCTAATATCCTGATGGTTAGTAATTACGCTTCAGAGCGAGTGACGAACCCTATGAAGGATGCTCTGATCTTCGCTGCACTTAGACAGATGTTGCGGGCTGCAGATGACTACTTAGAAGACCTGCCTCTTGAGGAAACTAGTAACCTGGCTCCTCTCTAAGGCTCCCAGGAAACCATCAGCTGTCCTTCAATGGGTGGTGGGACACACTTACTTAGTCCTGAGCTGTTCTGTGCTCATTCCTGCTTTTGCTTGTTTTTGGAGGAATGTGAGGAATGGCACAATCTTCTGGTACATTAGTTACCCCTTTTAACCCAAACCTGAATTGCCCTAAAGAGAGTTTGTCTACTAACAGCCTCTTTGAGACTCTGCCTTTGTTAATTGCACTGTTCTGTTTTTTTTGTTTGTTTGCTTGTTTCTTTGTTTTTGTTTTTTTTTATTAACAGCATCAGCTAATGGCTCCTTCAACAGCTAGCCATGTATCAAAAAATGAAGATGAAGCCTGAGAAGTAGAGAGGAAGGAGATGACCCACCACAAATGAGCTTCCAAATGCCTGTACCCACTACAGTTTAATATTTTGATGTCTCTGCTTTTACTTCTCTAGCACATTATGCAATTCTATGAATAACTAATCAATCACACAGTGATTACAAATTATAGATATCTGCTATTCTAAATAGGCTTTGGTACAGCACAAGGTCGGAAGCATTAAGAATACTCACAGTGACTCTTCTGTAACACTTTCTCTAGTCTGATGGTATTTATTTAGGCTTTTAATCCTTATGGATGGAAAGAAACAAAGAGTAAGGTAAACTGCTGGAAAGAGAATGGGAAAATAAGGATGGACAGGGTATTACTTATCTCTGTTTGAAAACATGAATGCTTCTAAACAAATTTAAATTAATTAAAAAGAGCCGATATTTGTTATTTGCTGATACATCGAAGTTTTAATTTCATGAAATAAAGTTTCTTCCTGTAATATTCCCATGCTTGATTTTGTTTGAATAAATTCCAAGGCATCATAGCTATGTGTCCAAAGGGAAATTATTGAGAAATGAAGTCTTGCTAGTCAGCATGGAAGGTTGTCATGCAAGTCCTTCAAATGATTATGAAGTCCTCTAGGCAGCTCTCAAAGTCAGGACTATTGTTGAAGGGAAATAAATGTCACAGTATTCTTTCCAACTCTTTCTGTAAATCTTAATAATTCCTCAAAATTTTCAGTTTAATATTTTATTATTTGGGTACATATTTATTTTATTACCTTTAACTATGTGCACACATATACACACAAGTGCAGGTGAACATGGAGGAGATGTGTCTCATCCCCTTGAAACTGCAGAAGGGGGTCATGAAGCATCCAGTGTGTGTGCTGGGGACTGAAAGGGTCCTTTGCACAAACAGCATGCACTCTTGAACTGAAGCCGTCTCTCTAGCCTCTTAGTCTTCTTTTTAAAAATATGTTCAAAAACTTCCTGCATTTTGACAGTCTATTTTATCTTCAGCCAGGATACTCTTTCTTCTGGCTATTTCTGGGTACTAAGAGGACAAGGATTCCTCCAGGGTGGGTATGAGGAAGTGGATTTTCCTAAAGTAGTGTTTTAAGAGAAGCTGTGCTTTCATGAATATTCATGAAGATAGTTTTAAGAAATATCTAGAAACTGAATAGTCATTTATAGAATAAAAATTGATGAATAAAGACAGAGAAGATATGGGGAACAAAGTTTTGGTAGCAAACGGCTGTGACTGGATGTAGAAGTGAGGATACAAATATCAAGTGGGCCTTTATCCACATAATATAGAGAAAAAATGGGACATGACCATTGTTGCTTGTAGGAAGCTGAAAATGGTTAAAGATTCACCATTGTTCTTGCTGACTACAGGGCCATAGCCTTGCTATCTCTGTCATGAAGAGCCTGTCTGGGCAGAAGGTGACAAGTTTTCATTTTGTATAAAGAGGTAGCATAGAGTAGCCCTCATAAAGGAGATCCAGAATATAGAAGGTGAGTGTGCCGAAAGGGAGTTAGACATGGAGGGACGTCCATAGGAATATGCACACCCTTTGGGAGTAAAAGCCCTCAGACCAAGTTTACTATAGCTCCCAAAACCAACATGACCAGTAATGGTTTATTAACATACACATGTCTCATGGAATCAAATATGAAACTGAAATTCACACAGGGGAAGGCTTGGAAGAGGGCCCCAAGAAGGTTGAAACAAACTACTGTGATGGGAGTGAAAGACCTAAAAAGCAATGTTAATGATGGACTAACCTAGAAACCAATATCTGTTCCTTGGAATTTGCTAGCTTCCTCTCACAAGGCCCTGAGATAAGAAGAATTCACACTGCCCCTCCTTTCCTGTGAGTCAACAGGTGGTAAATAGGGTCAAGAGATAGCTGTAACTCTGGTTTGCCCAGACAAGATTAATTAGCACACCTGAAGCCCTAAGGTCTGCTGACCCTAATAGCGAGACCATCCGGCCTCCAAGGGTCACGTACTCAATGGACAGAGGGTCCCACCCCCTCCCTAAGCTTGTGGGTTTGCCTTTAAAAACACCTGGGCCCAAGGGAGGGGGCTTCTCCCTAGCCTGCGTGCTGGAGGAGCCCGTATGCGCAAACGTTTCCTGTTCATTAAAGCCTCTTGCGTTTTGCAGCAACTGGACTGGACATTGAGTTCTTGGGGTATCGACCAAACCTGGAAGACTCCTCATTCTGAGGGTCTTACAGGAGATGTCATTCTGGATATGTTTCTCATACTGGTTAATGAATAAAGCACTGTTGGCCAATAGGAAAGCTAGATAGGCGGGACTAGGAGATGAGGAGGAATGAGGAGGTAGGAAGGAGAATCAAGATGGAGAGTCTGGAGAAAGCAGAATGCCGGCTGGCTCCCTGGTAAGAGAAGACCACGTGGAAATACTAGATTAACAGAAAGGGCTAATAATTAAGACAGAGCTAGCTGATAAGAAACTAGTAACGGGCCAACAGAATTATATCAAATACAGAGTCTCAGTGTGTTAATTGGGGCTGGTGAGGCGGCGGGACCAGACCAGCGGCGGGCGGAAAAACCCTACTCCTTATACTACTGTCTAGGAGGAGATCTTCCATAATTTATTGATTCCCCAAATATTTCTCTGGTACACTGAGGGGTGGTAGGACTTTCCACGTGTTGGTATTCATGCTATTCAGGATTTTTGAAACTTTATATGACTTAGCTTTCAGCAAGTTATGTAGCCAAAGTCATTCAATTCCTCCTTGATGAAAAAGTATGTTAAATAGTAGACAAAAGATGAGTGTAGCATGAGTCAGATGGGTGGTGTGGAGGCCACGGAAGTGTTGGTGCCCGAACTCTTGGAGTAGTGGTTGAGTAGGTGAGACTTTTGCCCTACAAGTGTTTGTTTTTTCAAAGTTTGTGACTTTGTGTATTCATCCAGTATTTACCACATGATACTGAGAGTGTGTGCTTCATAGCGTGACCCTATGGGTCTTAAAGAAAACAATTTAACAGATTATCACTTGTAGGTTGGTTCATTAGTAGAAGGTGGGCCTAGAATTGGTTATAAGGAAAACACTTGTTTTGGGTGCTATGCTGTTTCCACAGTCTCCAGAGATGATAATTTAGGACCATCTCAGTCTGGTGCTGACGTCACTGCTAGAGATCTCTGCTCATCAGAGATCTTAACAATAGCCTGTCTGTGGTCTGTAGATTATGTGACAGGAAAGGCATACTCCTGTCTTGAGAGTTAGATGAGGCTAATGGTTTGGCCAATTGAAATCTCTCTCTCTATGCAGATTCAATATATTACTGATTCAATATATTACTGACATGTAAGGCGAGTGCTTCGCACTAAGAAAACCAATACAGATATAAGTTGAGGAGTTCAAATCCAGGTGGTGTACCAGGCTCCCATATCATGACACAGAGACTTCTCATTAGCTATGAAGGCTCAGCCTTACCTTAGCTCTTATTTGAACCTGTTTCTTGTCATCTATGTTTTGCCTTGGGTCTTTTTACCTTTCTGTTTGTCCTACTTTACTACTGTCTCTGTGTCTGTTTGTCTGGCAGCTGCTTGGCTTCTGGCCCTGGATGTGTCCCCTCTTTGTCCTTGCTCTCTTCCCCTTCTCTTCTTCTTTTTGTTTTACTCAAGCCTAGATTTCTCTTCTTTATTCTCTCCACCTGCCAGTTCCACCTGTCCTTTCTTTGTCTATCCATTGGCTGTTCAGCTCTTTATTAGACCAATCAGGTGCCTAAGTCAGGCAAGGTGAAACAAATGTAGCACATCTTTACACAATTAAACAAGCACAGCATAAACAAATGTAACACATCTTTTATTTATTTATTATTTTTTATTTTACAAGTCTATCCCAGTTCCCTCTCCTGAGGAACAGCCATACTGATCTCCAAAATGGCTATACAAGTTTGCACTCCCACCAGCAGTGGAGGAGTGTTCCCCTTTCTCCACATCCTCTCCAGCATGAGTTGTCATTGGTGTTTCTAATTTTAGCCATTCTGGAAGGAGTAAGATGGTATCTCAGAGTTGTTTTGATTTGCATTTCCCTGATAGCTAAGGATGTTGAGCACTTTCTTACATGTCTTTCAGCCTTTTTGATTTCCTCTATTGAGAATTCTTTCTTCAGTTCTGTACCCCATTTTTTAATAGGGTTATTTGGTGTTTTGTTGACTAGTTCTTTGTGTATTTTGGAGATCAGCCCTTTGTCGGATATAGGATTGGTGAAAATCTTTTCCCAGTCTGTGGGCTGCTGTTTGGTCTTGTCGACTGTGTCCTTTGCCTTACAGAAGCTTCTAAGTTTGAAGAGGTCTGTGGCCCTGGAGTTATGTTCAGGAAGATCATAGGTGCAGAAAACATATTCAAAAAAATATCATTGAAGAAAATGTTCCCAATCTGAAGAAGGACATGCCCATGAAAGTACAAGAAGAACACCAAACACCAGATAGACTGGACAAAGAAAAAAGACCCCTGGACACATAATAATCAAAACACCTAGCATACAGAATAAAGACAGAATATTAAGAGCAATGAAGGAAAAAAGGCCAGATAACATATAAAGAGAGACCTATCAAAATTATACCTGAGTTCTTCATGAAACTCTCAAAGTCGAAGGTCCTAGATAGATGTTCTACAAGTACTAAGAGTCTATGATGCCAGCCCAGGCTACTATACCCAGAAAAACTCTCAATCACTATATAGAGAAAACAAGATATTTAATGACAAAGCCAGATTTTCACAATATGTACCTACAAATCCAGCCCTACAAAAAGTTCTGGAAGGAAAACTCCAACCCAAACTAGTTAACTATGCTCACAAAGAAACAGGCAACAGATAATCCCACTTTACCAAAACCCAAAGGTAAAGCAGGGTAAATATATTCACAATACCAACAAACCTAAAACAAACAAGCATTAACAATCAATGTTCCTTACTTTCCCTCATCATTAATGGTCTTAACTCACCTATAAAAAGACACAGGTTTACAGAATAGATACGAAGACAGAATCCATCCTTCTGCTACATACAAAAAACACATCTAGCATCAAAGACAGACATTACCACGGGGTAAAGGGTTGGGAAAAGATCTTACAATCAAATGAACCCAAGAAGCAAGCAGGTGTAGCTACCCTAATATCTAACAAGTTAGACTTCATACCAAAATTAATCAAAAGAGATGAAGACAGACATTTCGTATTCATCACAGGGGAAATCCATTAGGACAAAGTCTCAGTTCTGAACATCTAACTCTCAAATACAAAGGCACCCACATCTGTAAAAGAAACACTACTAAAACACAAAGCTCACATCAAACCTCACACTCATCATTGGAGACTTCAACACCCCACTCTCCCCACTACACAGGACCACAAGACAGAAACAAAAGAACTAACAGAAGTTATGTCTCAATTGGGTTTAACATTTATAGAACATTCCATCAAAACACAAAAGAATATACCTTCCTCTCTGCTCCAAATGGAACATTCTCTAAAATCCATCACATACTAGGTGACATAACAAACCTCAACAAATTAAAAAAAACAGGTGGGGTGGGGTGATGTGGGGATGGGCCTGTGAAGACTGAAGCGTGAGGATGACTAAGGTAAAAATATTATTTTGGGGGAAAAAGGTGGCCCCATTACTACAGAAGTTGGCTCGTTGCCAGTAGGGCTAGGCTGGCAGAGTTTCAGTTTCATTTCCTAAGCAGGAATCTGAGGGCTGTGGAAAGGTTTCTATTTACTTACCGAGACAGAAGCTGTCCTCTGTGCTAGCCTTCGTGCGGACTCTTCATATAGGTACGTGTGGCTACAAGAGTACTTACAATTTTTAAAAGCAGTTATTTAAACGAACATTTTGGTAATGATTTTCTTGCTGTGTGTTTGCCCCATGTTCTTTAATGTCTTGTGTTTTGTGACAGAACAAGAGGAAATGAAAGTTTTGTGTGCATCTGTTTGCTCTTCAGGGTTTAATGAGGGTTTGTTCTGGCTTTCCCACTAGGCTGTGAAGTATGGCCATGAGAACATGTTTGACATGGTTGCAAGAAAAATGCCTGCAGAATTATTTTGGAGGAAAACAGTTTTGTCTTCTTTATAAGGCGAGTGTGCAGAAGTTCTCTAAGCAGGATCTGTTCTGGAAATGTTGGGATAATGGTCCTACCATGGTCATGCTGTACAGCAGAAACTGTGTTGTTGGTGCTTATCTGAAAGAGGGCTTCCAGAAAAAAAAGATTTTTATCACTCTTTTTGCCCTCCAAGAGACTGAAGTTTCAGAATGCACAATAGGACCATATCTTCCAGCTTCATTGTTTTATGATAGAGAAAATTTTGATTGTATTCCTAGTTTCTATATAATGTTAGATGAGAAAAATGTGATTATAAGTTCAGAGATCTGTAAAAAGCTCGGACTGCCTCCTAGATGTTCTCCCATGTCCATTGACGACTGTGAAACTTTTCGATGCACAGGTATGTATTTGCTCTGGCAAGTCTATGGAGTTCTCCCCTGCATGTTTGGTGGATTCTAGATGACATACATATCCCTGTGCAAAAGACACCTTTGATCTCTCGGGTTCTTCAATCAGGAGAAATTGAGCCACACTGACACCTGACCAGAAATTGCTAAAATCCAATTATGAAATGAGACCACTTAACATAAGATCTACACTTTTGTCTTGGATCATGCTATCTTTAGACTTCATACTAACCCCACTCCACTTTCATGTAGTCATCAGTTTTTTTTTATTTTATTTTTTAATTTTGAGTTTGACTGTGTTACATTCTCATAATGACTCGACTTTCATTGGTTAAGGTAGGAAGTTATCAGTTCATTTCAGTTTCAAAGAATCAACAGCTGCATTCATTTGTACTTGGTTAATGTTTTACAACTTACATTCATAATTTTATTGATTACTCATTTTAATTTCTTAAGAGCTCTTACATTTTTTTTTTTGTTTCTGCTTTCAAACATTCCTTATTTCCTGTCAGGATAAAGTCTAATTTTATCATAGATTTGCTGAATGTTATTTTACAGTGAGTCTGCACATAATTGTGGTTTTAAGTTTCCTTTCAGGCACTGAGGCAACTTCAGAGAATGCTTTATAAAAATCTGAAAGACTTGATTTTATTTTTTTGTACAGTTTTTAATTCTTTCAAGCTTAATTATATTTTGGTCATTTCTGCTTTTGGTAATTTATTCCTTGCTTGCTCTACATATGGGCCAATAGCGAGAGTTACTACAGATTTGACAACATGGTTAGACTAATGGCTTCAGTTTTAAATCTACCCCCCTCAAAATATTTTCCTTTAAAAAGAAAGGCTGCGCTGAACCCATACTGACTGGCCTGCCTCTAGCCCTCTGCCATTGCTGTGCTGCTACTCTCCTTGGACTGGCTGGAATTTGCTTTTTGTACTTTTATCTTCTCTTTTGACCCAGGAACACTTCCACTGAAAGGAAGACCCTACCAATAGCTGGCTTTGACAAAAACTTGTGCCTATCTTAAAAATTATTTTTATGCATCTCTTCACACTGTATCTTTCAGACCAATTACCACTTTTAGAGAAAACATCAGTTAATATTAGTCTTTCCTTGGTTTGTCTATATTTCCAAATTCTGCTTCTGTAATTCAGAAGTCACTTGCAATCCAGTTCCCAATCAGGCAAAGATGTCTGCACTGCCACTGAATGGAGTGGAGAACTCATTTGCAGACACTTCTCCTGAGGTCTTGTGTTCCCCAAAAAAGGCAATGTAAATTTTCTCCTCTTGCTTTTCTTCTGTGAAAAGACTACTTACATATTTGTCTCTAATGAATTTACTCACATTCATTTGAACAGACATATATTTTAAGAATTTATAAACTCTTTTATTTGTTATTTTCCTTAGAGTTATTGGATGAGAGAAAGACAAAAGGCATCACTCTGTAAGTCAATGTTTTTTTTTAAAAGATCTTTATTAATTTTGATTATGATATGTATGTCAACAAAATTGATCATACAAGTTATTACAGCTAATATATAGACCATCAAAGAATAACAAAAGCCCCTGTCTTTAATCATAAAACAGTCGACACTAGTAACATTAAAAGAACAGTGAGTGGGAGAAGCTATTTTTAATGATACATACTTAGGGGAAAATTGCTTACCTTGTGTTTTAGAATTATTTTTTGACTTTTCGAGACAGGGGTTCTCTGTAATAGTTCTAGCTGTCTTTGAACTAGCTCTGTAGGCCAGACTTTCCTGGAACTCACAGAGATCTGCCTGCCTCTGCCTCTGCCTCTGCCTCTGCCTCCTGAGTGCCGAGATTAAAGGCGTGCACTATCACTGCCCTGCTAGAGTTCTTTTAGCATTTTTTTTCTTTAGAATGTGCTCAGAGCATCTATTAATGAGTTTTGAGAACATGTTAGAAATGGTCCACTTCTATAAACCTTTTAAAGTTCATCATTATTAATCTTCACATATGTCATGGTTGATATTTAATACTGAATTTGCAAGATATAGTAACATAAGTGAACAGTTTTAGTTGCATTGTTCTTGTTTCTTTTACAATATGGCTTATGTTTGGCTAGTGTATTAGCTATGTTTCAGTTGTTATAACAAAATACCACAACTGAAGCAACTGAGGAAGAAAGTGTTTACTTCAGCTTCCAGATCTAGAGGGACAGAGACCATCAAGAGAGGGAAGGCATAGTAAGAGCTGCAAAAACCATGGTACGAGGACCAGGGAGATGACTGACAACAATTTCATCCACAATCAGGAAACACAGCGAGCAAGAACAGGAAGTGGCTGAGGTCATAAGCCCTCAAATCTTTCCCTCATTGATGTAATTCCTTCAGCAAGTTCCACCTTCTCAAGATTCCATAACCTTCCCAAACGCTTACAAGGGACATTCTCCTTCAAACCAACAGTCTTGTGTGTATAGTGAAGAAGGCAGGCTGCTAATCAGAAATACTATAAGGAAGATAAGTGAATTCTTAGAAGGTGTATGGTGAGGTCATGTAAGCTGACCAGTTAATTCTTAAAATGTGCTGAATTTTAATAGGATACAGAATCATTTATTGCATATCCTGAGAACATATAAGCCATATGGAGACCTGGTTCCCCAAGCACGGATTCTGCTGCTGGGTCCGACTGGAGCTGGAAAGTCTAGCTTTGTCAACTCAGTCAAGTCTGTTTTCAGAGGCAGCATCACACACCAGGCCATGGTGGGCTGTGGCATAAATGGGACATCTGACAAGGTAAATACAGATTAGGCTGCCCAGCCTTCTTTAGTTCAAGTTCACTGTATGGGAAACCAACCATCTTGACAATAAATTTCATGTAGACTTATTTAAATATATATATATATATATTTATATAAATATTTATATAATATATATACATATATATATATATATATATATATATATAAATTTAAAGTTGCTGTCCTCGACTCTTCAGTATAGGACATATTCAATCTACGGGAATGATGGTAGCCCCCTGCCATTTGTTCTGTGTGACTCACTGGGACTGAGTCAGGAAGCTGGCTTGCATTTTGATGACATACACTTCATCTTAAAAGGCCACACTCCGGACAGATACCAGGTAAGATTTTACTGTTTCTTAAAAATCACTGATTGATTTTTAAAATGCCTGCTTCTTCCCACCATCCACTTCACACACTGGACTAAGATCATCAATTCAGCACTTGTTCAAATTCCTTTGTTCCTTTATGATAGAAATTTCACTAAGAATTAAAAGAAAAGTACAGTGTATCCTTCTGTTACACCCATCATAACAGCCATCAATTGCTTAGACTGCTTTCTGTGAAACAGACATCCCTCTGTATGAATTATATAAATAACCACTTTTGCCAGCAAGACATATGAAGGCAGAAGCTTGGAAATGTGAGAGCTTTCCTGGGGCTATTAATTTCAGAAGTTTGCATTTTTGAGCATCACAGCATGGCCACTGACTTAGTAAGGGTTAGTATTGCTTTGATGAAACACCATGACCAAAAGTAAATTGGGGAGGAAAGGGTTTATTTAGTTCATGGTTCCACATCACAATTCACCCTCAAAGGAAGTCAGGACAGGAACTCAAACAGGGCAGGATTTTGGAGGCAGGAGCTGATGCAGAGGCCATGGCAGAGAGCTGTGTATTGGCTTGCTCAGTCTGCTTTCTTATAAACCTCAGGACCAGTAGTTCAGGGATGATACCACCCACAATGGGCGGGCCCTCTCCCATAATCACACATAATGAAAACGCCCCATAGCTGGATCTTATGGTGGCATTTTCTCAACTGAGGCTCCCTCTTCTCTGACGACTCTAGTATGTGTCAAGTTGACACAAAGCCAGCCAGGCATTAGAGACTGAACAATCATTTCCTTCGAGGTCTCATATGCTGAAAGTCCCAGACAGCAGTGTGATGGCTTTGGTAGGTGGAGGCTTGGGGAAGTAGTTATGTCTTGAGGGTGAAGCCTTTAAGGGGTAGAATTAGTGTCCTCAGAAACCATGTGATATCGGATCCCTTTTTGCCATTTGAGGGTATTGGTTAAAAATGGATATCTGAAAAACCTCAATACACATAAACTTTTCTGACAGCCTTCATGTGAGAGGAGGTGCCTAGTCTCACTGCTAACCTGACATACCATGTTCGGTTGATTATCCAAAAAGCAAAGGAGGAGTCAGGGGAGACAGGGAGGACAGACAAGAGGGGAGCCGGCGGTCAGGGCATAAACAGTAATGATACAATTTTTAAAAACTGGTTTGTTTCTAACAATGAACAAAAATGTTAGGTTAACATGAAAACGTTCCCTTTTTTTGAGATTTCACATTTCTGCTGTCCTTTTTATTTATGACTACAATTAGTTAAACCTCATTTCTGGGGCTGGCTGGTCTTCATTTGATTAAAATAGAATTGCTGTAACATACTGGTAGAAAACGTAAAGCTGCCTTGGAAATATAAGAGATGGGCTCTTGGCTGTTTTCTGAGTACTTGTCATTAATAATAAGTTATTATTATCATTGTGAACTCAGTTTAAACTGAGTGTATTTGATGCATTTTGATACATTGTGTTTTTTCCATTTCCAAATGCAGTGATCACTAAGGACTTCTAAGAGTTAAACCACAGGTCCTTTGACAGAAACACAAGTCTTTCCTGTGTTTTTTGCTCTGTGCTGGAACTAGATAACCCTGCCAGAGCTTTTATGTTTCCTGTCCTGCATTGGAATCTGTTGTTTTTTTCACAAAGCCCTGGTTTGTAGCATTAGAAAAGTTATTGCTACTTTGTTGGCTGTTTTTTTCTTTCACTTTTCAGGGAAGCACATATTTTTTTTTGATAAGATAACTTATAAATTCATATATATGCATTAAAATTAAAGACCAGAGATTCTTTTTATATTTTTATTTATTATTATTTCTTATTTTACATATTGATCTCAGTTCCTTCTCCCTCCCATGCCCCCTACCCCACTCCCATCCCATTCTCCCCCCACTCCACAGCGAGGGTGATGCCTTCCAGGAGAGATCATCAAAATCTGTCAAGGTGTTTGGAGTAGGTATTAGGCCCTCCCTCCTGCCTCTAGGCTCAGGGAGCATCCCTCCATGGGGAATGTGCTCCCAAAGTCCTTCTCTGCACCAGGGATACATCCTGGTTCCACTGTCAGAGGTCCCTTAGCCTGCTCAGGCCTTCTAACTGAGACCCATGCTCAGAGGGTCTGAGTAAGTGTAATGTTGGTTTCCCATGAGCTCCTCCTTGTTCAGGTCAGCTGTCTCTGTGAGTTTCTGTAGCCTGGTCTTGTCCCCTTCTCTTATCACTCCTCCCTTTCTGCAACTGGATTCCAGGAGTTTGGCTCAGTGTTTAGCTGTGGGTGTCTGCTTCTGTTTCCATCAGCTGCTAGATGAGGGCTCTAGTGTGGCATATTGGTTAGTTATCTGTTATGAGCAGTTTTCCACCAGCCTGCCTGGTCCCACAGCCACAGCAGCCCCAAATAACACACAGAGATGCTGTATTAGGTGTAAAACTGTTGGCCTGTTGTTAGCATTACTTATTGGCGAGCTCTGTCTTAAATATTAATCCCTTTCTACCAACCTAAGTTGTCTTATCTTACCTGAGAGAGTGGCCGGCGTTATGTTCTCCCCACCCTACATGTTGAATCTCCTCCTACCTATCCCGAATCTGTTCTTCTGTAATCTTCCATCTTCAGCCCATAGGCCATAGTGTGTCTAGCAGACTCTTCAGCAACGCAGGAAACTTTAAACTGTCTTCTTGTATTGGCAGTTAGTCAGTCAGTCACTTTCCTCTGTGTCCGGCAGACTGTCTAGCAGACTCTTCCATGAAACAGGAACTCTATAGCAATGTCCATCTTGAATCAGCAGTCACTTTCCTGTGAGTCCTGCATGTCCAGTTTATACAGCATAAAGTCAAACAGTCCAGACAAGAGCAGTATCTTGTCCAAATGGCTAGTCTTGCCATATTGGAAGCAAACCCCATAACGAGTTTCTTCAATGTCCATCTTCCTTTCTGACGCAGGTGGTGTTGCCAGGAGCATTCATGTCTCACTGTCAAGAAAAACCCTAAACAATTTTAAATGCCATATTCTGTAGGTCTTTGAAAGGTTTGAAGGATGCCTATTCATCTCAAATACATCTCTGTATATCTAGAAAACCTAACTCACCTAACTAAAGTTTTGACTATTATAGCTAACTATCTAAATCTGTAATAAATTATCCATTTTTAAATGAGCTGTATAAACACAATACCTATACAAGAGGAGATAAATACATATCATAATATTGACCTTAAATTGTATCAATAAATGAAAATCCATTCCAAAACAAAGTATATATTCCTATGCCATAATATCCTTTTTACCTTTAAAAAGAGATTTTTTGTGATTATTAACCATTTATAACCAAGTCCATTTAAATGAAAACAAACATTTATAGACAATATTTGGGAATTTGGGTGTCATTCTTTTCAAACTGCTTTCCTGCTGGTAGGGGGTACTGTCTTGAGGATGCTAAGAAGACAGAAATCCTGGCTGTAGTGGTCTGTAAGGCTACCTTGTCCCAGGGACAATGCTTCAGAGGGTCTGGCTTGATCAAACCATGTTAGTAAGGAAGGAATCCACAGGTTTTCATTTTCTGTGGAGACAAAAGTAGAAATCCTTTTCCCCAGTAACCTGTCCTTAGACTTAAATTTTGAAGTCAAGGCATTTTAAAAATATATAAATTGGATTAATCCAGCAGCATTTGTTTTAACAGTTGTTGCCATTTCCTCAGCAGTCAAATAATTTTAAGACAATACAATAGCATATAGTATCCAGACTCTTTTTGTGGTTTTCACCTTTATGTGGCTTTTTTATTACTTTATTTCTTACACTTCTATTTTTACATTTTTGAGACAGGGTTTCTCTGTGTAACTTTGGCTGCCCTAGAATTCACTCTGTAAACCAGGTTTACTTTGAAATCACAGAGATCTGCTTGCCTCTGCCTCCCGAGTGCTGGAATTAAAGGCATGTGCCACCATATCCAGCTACTCTCTCCAGCTGCTCATACACACCATTGAATTGTTAGCAGAGCTTCTTAAAAGCCATGCAGGTTTTTTTTTTTTTTTTTTTTTTTTTTTTGCAGCTTATGATGAGTCAGGAAACCTCCCTTAAAGGAGCCGCACAAATCTCTGCTTGTCTCTAGCAAAACAGAGCCCAACTGAGAAAAATGTTATTAAGAAGCCTCGCTTGTCTTTGTTCTTTTGTTTCTAAAATCTGTAAGTTTTTGTTAAGTTTTAAGTGAAAGTTCTTAAGTCCACGTTGGGCGCCATTTTGTTATATCTTCCATCAATGAGTTATCAATCTCATTATCAGGGTAGCCTTTCCACTGTTGCTCAAGACTAGAGAATTTTTATTTAAGCTTTTATAATTATGTTTTTGTCGACTTTTTCCTCAATTGGGAGTTCTTTTTCTTGTTTTCAAGGACAGTAGAGAGTATTGTGTCACAACTAATTTTTTTCATGTCACATGGTAGCTTCAGAACAGACTCCATTATTAGAGCAAGTTACCTAATCATATTTAATATTATTTAGTAAAGTGAGAATCAAAATTGGAGATAATAGATCAATTCTAGCAGATTCTTATACTATGTTCAGCATGAAATCATATATCATTATGGTGCATACAAGTTATACTATTTTAGTCAGTCAGAAATAGTTTGTCTCTAGTTATCCCAACTAAGTTTAACTTGATTTATGAATTTGTTTTAACATTTGATTTTGTTTTATTTTATGATTTATTATTTATACATCTAAAGTTAAATTTTAGGATAAAAATATTTTTAAAAATTGATTCTTTCTCTGTTTAATTAACACAAATCCCTTTGTTTTTCTATAGGAAACCATGATAATTTATTGCTTCCCTTTTGCAATATCGAAAAAATACATATTTGTGATTTCTTCATTTTTAAAAGAGTGGTAATGTCCTATGGCTTACTGGTATATCACGTTTTTGATGCATGAATAGACCTAGAATCAAGACACTGTGCAGATTCCATTTTGTTTTTATGCCTCTATCTCTGTGAGACAGATTCTGACAGAGAAATTGTTAGTTCAAGAATAATGGTATTGTTTCATCATGAAGCACTGTCCCAATTCATTCCAAGTGTGATGCCTCCAACTTTTTTTCCCAGTGTTATGACCCATGTCTTCACACACATGGTTTCTTTTATCTAGAGTGCTTCCTGCCACAGTTTTATTCATTTTCTTGAGAAGAACTCTGTTTTCTTACACTCCAAGTTATATATTCTTTGATCACAGAAGCATTATCAGGCTGTGTGAAAGAACTACTAGATATTTATGCAATTGCCAACTTCTCCATCTATGGTTAGCCTCTTAATATCAGAGATCTGTGTATTATTGTTCAAATACATAGGACTGGAATATAGTTTATGAATAAATACACACTGTGTAATGATTCCAATTTCTTTTTTGAATGCTCTGACTTCTGACATACTTTACAGTTCAATTCCAGGGAATCAATCACATCAAACCATCCAAACTATATTCATGACTCACAGCTGAAGGACATAATTCATTGTGTGGTGTTTGTGTTTGATGCCACTTCTGTTGAACAGCTCTCTTATGGACTGGTGGCAAAGATAAAAAGGATTCGAAGGGCATTGATAAGATGTGGTGAGTGTCATTTTATTTTGCTACTGAAAGTAACTGACTGGACTTCACAGTAGAAATTTGGGGAGTGAGTTGAAAGACTACAATGATCACAAATGTGAGTCTTTCTGGCTCATTAGCATGGTTTCATTCAGTTGAGATCTCAATAGCTGTGTGACTATGTATGTGTGACTTAAACTCAATTTCCCCCAATATCTTACAATTGCTAAAATGATAGAAAATCCATCTGACTATTTTGTTTGTAAATATACAAGTTGAAGAGTAGCCAGGCGCAACCACACACCACCTTCATAGTTTGTTACGCAGTTTTTAACCAAGTGCTACTGATGGGGGATGTCCTTGTGAATGCTGTGAATATGTGTTGCTCTTATTGGTTGATGAATAAAGCTGTTTTGGCCAATGCACAGGCAGGATGTAGTCATATAGGAATAATAGTCAGGGCTACCAGACTAGGGGAATGCCAGGAAGAGGAATGTAGAGCGTGAGTTGCCAGAGAGATGTCATGTAGCTGCCGAGGAAGAAAGAGGTCTTGGCAGTCTCTGGTAAGCCAAAACCACATGGAGATACTTAGATTGAATGGATTAGGGAGAAGGATCTGGGATTGGTATGTAAAATAAAATTGTTTTTAATTTAAATAAAAATTAATTTTAAAAAGAAATGGGTTAATAATTAAGAGAGAGCTAGCCAATCAGAACCCTGAGCTATTGGCCAAAGAGTTTATAATTATTTAAGCCTCAGTGTGTTTATTGGGACTAATGGGCTGTGGGACCAGGCAGGATAGAGACCTCTGCATACATGCTACATCTTTTGTTATGAGTTGTTTTCCTGCCAGCCTGGTCCCAGAGCCACACCAGCCCCAAATAACACACAGAGATGCTGTATTAGATATAAAGCTGTTGGTCTGTTACTAGCATTTCTTATTGGCTAGCTCTGTCTTAAGTAATAACCTATTTCTATTAATCTAATTGTTTCCACGTGGTCTTATCTTACCAGAGAGAGGGTCCAGCATTCTTCTCTCTTGGTCCTACATCTTGAATCTCCTCCTCCCTCTTCCCGAATCCTCCTTGTCTCCTAGTCCCTCCTATTTTGCTTTCCTATTGGCCAACAGGGCTTTATTCATTAACCAATAAGAGAAACATATGTACAGAATGGCATCTCCCATCAATCTTTCCTTGCCCTTAAAGGGTTAGAAGACAGAAAGAAACATTCTAGCAAGGAAAAGAGCAGACATATAAAATGCCTGGTTGATAGAGGCAGCAGGAAGGCAGAAGGCAAACACAAGCTGGTGGTTCTGAATCCCAACTCTGCCTTTCTTGTTTTTATCCACTGGAGTGGGTAAGAGCCCATCACAAATTTGACTGAGAAGCAAGGAATGACTGACTTACCTGTTCACTGAAATTGAAAGGTTGTAAAATCTTATGTGGGAACCTGCTTTTGTCAAAACTGTGAAGTAGGAGTATCTTATTCATCTCTGGCATTTTCTCTACTCTCCATTAAAGACAACACATTTAGAACTAAATACCAATTGGCAATTATATGGTGTAAATTTTAGTTAGTCCTTCTAAGTGGTAACTTGTGAAGCTTTATTTCTCAGCTTAGAACAAAGGGTATATCCCATGCAGAAGAAATTCCAGTGGATGTGTGTGTGTGAGAGAAAGAGAGAGAGAGAGAGAGAGAGAGAGAGAGAGAGAGAGAGGTGGGGGGCACAGGAGGTAGAGAACTCCCTAAATCTAAAGTCACCCCATTGCTTGCCTGCAGCAAAACTGATAATTTACTAATTTAGAAAAGCTGTTGATATCTGAAAGGATATAATCCTATGTGTTTCTTTGACACAGGCATTCTGCATGTGGTTTTGCTTACGCACGTGGATAGACTGGATCTGATTACAAAAAGAGATCTTATAGACATATACAACTGTCACCCTGTGAAGCACAAGGTAATGTGTGAGCATTCATGAGAAATGTCATTGGTATACATAATATTTAACTTACAAAGAACAATAGCTAACAATTAAACTTAAGAAGAAGAAGTAAAATGATTGCTAGAATAGTTAGGGCACATTTCCCAGGCTTAGAAGATTTAAAATCCATGCAACTTATCCTTGTGTTGAACTTTATGTTTGTTTATATTTGCTACAATTTAATTTAATTCAACAAGTATTTGTTGATTTCTTTGTGATCCAAACCAATACTATAGCCTGTAATCTGATACACAGATGATAAAGATGATTATTGTACTAAAAAGATTATAATTGTATAGACAGAAGTGAGAGCATAGGGAAGTGGAAAAAGAGAAAGTAGACAGAGGTATAAGACATGATTACATATACCATGTAAGAAAATGGTGAAGATAATATGTCTTGGTGATTTGAAGGAAAAAAAAATTCACAGGGGATTATTTCACTGCAAAACTGATTCTGAGAGATAGTGTTTAAGCATTATAGTAAGGGAAGAGACAAAGAAGAAAATAATTTAAGCAGGGAAATATAAACCAATGTATTAGAGGGCAAAAATGTAGAATGTTTGAGATGTATGGTGTTCTTAATGGACAGCTAGATATTGAAGTACATAGAAATGCAGAAGCCAGTGGTAATGACACTCCATTTTATGATTTTATATCTTAGAGAATCATGATCTTTAGAAAGTCTCTATATATTCAACATTAAGATTTCTGTAAATTAACATAGGCGAAGAATTGATTGGAAGCAAAAAGTTGTGGGAATACTAGTTGTGAGAGTGTATGATAGATTTTTCTTCTTCAATCATGGTTATAATCCAAGAGATAGGTACAATTAACACTGTGTCATACATAGATGAGGAAACAAAACAAACCAGAAGCAAGCCTTTGCCAATGTTTATTAATAGTGCTAAGAAATGACAGAGCTATATTGACAGCCTAGGTGGTGCACGTTCAGGTTGACCTAGTCTAAGCAAGAATTAAATGTTAAACAAGTCTAATAAAATTGATTCATCCTGTACATGCCTTATAAAAGGAAAACTGAAATTTGCGGACAATAGCTCCTCTATGTTAAAATTGCTTCAGTTTCATGGGAATCTCTATAGATCAAAGAGTTGCTATTCATTTTGGTTGTTTGCTTTGAATTCCCAATGCACCTCCGTTGCTACTCTACACAAGTACAGAAACCACTTAAGACCTCACATTCCCTGCTCATGGCAGTGTTCTTTATTTGTCATCATATTGTTGACCTTTATTCTGTCACGTTCTTCCTTTTTAGTGTTCCCAGATATCCCCTTCCTCCTTTTGATTTCCCTCTCCTCCCAATCTTCCCTCCTCCAACCTCTTACTCCTCTTTATGTCCAGTTTTGCCTCACTTCCCTGCAGATCCCATGTCTGTGTTTTTAAGAGTTCTCATTTTTTTTTTTTTGGACCATAGATTTTGAACCCATTGTTTCCTTTCTCTGGTTTGTCCCAGTTACTCCCTACTTCCATACCCATCCAACTTTATGTTCTCTCATTTTCAAAAACAAAACAACAACAAAATAATAATAAACCCCAAAGAACCACAAAACCAAACAAAGCAAATACTGATGATGATAATATAGTAAGAAAAATAAACACTCATAAAACAAAAGTCAAATTAAAAACACAAAGCAGAACAAAATAAAACAAACCTCCTACAAACAAACAAAAAACCCAGGAAGTTCATTTTGTATTGGACAACTGTTTCTGGGTACAGGGCCTGCCCTGAGGTTAATATATTAGTGACACTCCAACTGATTTTCCTTTTGCCAGTGGGCACCAATACCAGATACTCCAATTTAGGGGTGGGAGCCTGTGTTCACCACCCCCCCTCTGGTTTGAACCTTTGTAACCCTTATGTATTCTGTCACATTCTCTGTGAGTTCGTGTGTATCAAATACTTTTGTCTGGAAGATGCAGTATTATTGTAGCCACATATCACATCTCCCTCCTTATTCTTAACAACCTCCTCTTCTGCATAATAGATCCATAGCCTTGACGGGGAGGAGTCTGATGAGAACATCACATTTAGGGCTGAATACTCCAAAGTCTTTCACTCTCTGTCCAATGTATAGTTTTGTTTCACTGTGTTAATTCTCATCCACTGTATGAAGCTCCTCTCATGCAGGTTGAATAAGGCATTGGCCCATGTGTCTATCACAATCTCACTTTGAATTATTTTATTGCTTTGATCCTTTAGCATAATAATAATATTTGGTTTTATCCTAGGCCCCTGGCCTTTCTGGGCTCAGGTCCTTGGCCACTGCAGTAGTTTCAAGGATGATTTCCTTCTCTTGGAGTGTGCCTTAAATCCAGTCTAAAGGTGGATGGTTACTCCATATCATTTGCACCAGTGTTGCTCAGGATTGTCACTGTTGTAGCTCACAGGGATTGTAGATAGAAGGTACAGATAATCATCTTTCTCCTCCAGTAGCATGCAAAACACTGTCTAGCACCATGGATGCTAGTCTTTAGGGGTGAAGCTTTTGGTTAGGCACTGGCTCAATTTCTCTGTGTTTTATGATATAAATAGGTGTCATTACTATCACGTTATGGAGAGAAACTAATAGCTTGGCAACAGCAGGTGATGTTTCTTGGTGGCGATTCATGGGACCCTTTTTGGCAATGACATAAAAAGTTATAACTCATCTCTGGCACAGGAGGTTTTACTTAGCATAGGATGTCTAGCTGGGGGCATTGCATATATTCTAGGAATCTTATACCTTAGTAGGTTTCATTATTGTTTTACAACTTGCCTTCAGTGCTAATTGTCCTTCCTCATATTTCCTCTTTTACCCATTTCTCCCATCCCTCTCCCTATTTAATCTTCCTATTCTATTTTCCCCTTTATCCTTTCGTAACAGTAACACTGTATTGGATTTCCTATTCTTTTGGAGATTTCTCCCTCTACCGCCCATTTCCTTACTAAGTACATAACCTCCATGGTCATTCAGATTGTAGCACACATAACAAAACCTTAAAGGTAACATCCACATATGAGAGAAAACATGCATCATTAGTCTTTTGGGGTCTGGATTACTGCACAAAGGATTTCTCCCCCAGCTCTACCTGTGAATTTCATAATTTAATTTTCTTAAGAGCTGAATGGTATTCCATTGTATAAATGTACCATGTTTTTATTATCCATTCATAAATATATGGACACCTAGGCCTTTTCCAGTTTCTGGCTATTATGAGTACAATGAACATGGATGAGAAAGTATCTGTTCTAGGATTCTTTTGGGTATGTGCTTAAAACTAGTATAGCCGGATCTTGAGGTAGGCCCATCCCCAGCTTCCTAAGGAACCACCACACCAATTTCCATAGTGGGTGCACCAGTTTGTCATTCCCCCCCCCCCATGGCACCAATTAGTAAGTGTTCCTCTTCCCCATATGCTTGCCAGTATGAGCTATCATTTGTTTTATTTTGGCCATTATGTCTGTAGTAATATGAAGTTTCAAAGTAATCTTGATCTGCATTTCCATAATGGCTAAATATGTTTAATATTTCTTTAAGCTTTTCCCACTCATTTGTTTTTTTATCTTTGAGAGATTTTGGCTTAGTTCTGCACCCCATCTTTTTTAATTGCGTTGCTTATTTTTAATGCTCAGATTATTTTGTTGTTCCTTGTGTGTTTTAGATACTAACACTGTATCAGATGTATAATTGTCAAAGGTCTTTTTATATTCTGTAGGTGGCTGGTTTGCCCAAATAAAGGTGTCCTCTGCCATACAGAAGCTTTTCAGTCCCATGAGGTTCATTTATTAGTTGTTGGTCTTAGTACCTATGCTAATGGTATTCTATTCTGAAGGTCTTCTCCTGTGCTAACGAGTTCAAGGCTATGCCCCACTTTCTCTTCTGTCAGATTTAGTACATTTTGTCTGAGTTGGATTTTTTGCACGGTGGTAAATATAGATCGATGTTTTATTCTTCTACATATAGTCACCCAGTTTGGCCAGCATCAGTTGTTGAAGGTGCTTTATTTTTCTCCAGTGTGTTTTTCTTGCTTCTTTATCAATAGTAATGTGTCTATAGATGTGTGAGTTGATGTTTAGGTTTTCACTTTGATTCCATAGGTACATATGTCTGTTTTATGCCAATACCATGCTGATTTTATTACGGTAGCTCAGTAATACATTTCAGATATGGAATGGTGATAAGCCACCAGTCCCTCATTCGTTTTATTATTCAGGCTTGTTTCTGTTTTTCTTTTTTCTTTTTGTATGTGTGTTTTTATATGAAGTTAGAGCTATTTTGTCACTTTCTTTGAATAGTTATGTTGGAATTTTGATGGGGATTGCATTGAATCTGTAGCTTGGTTTTTGTAGGGTGGTCATTTCCACAGTATTAAACCTAATGATCCATGAGCATGCCACTAATTTTTAATTCATCTTTACTATATCAAAACATTTTAAATGAAAAAATAATGGTGATACTGGAACTTGATGTGAAATTGCTCAAGAAAGTGCTGCAGAGGATCTGATTATGATTTTTTTAAATAGGAAATTTGTTGCCAACCTCTTGTTTTTTATTACTTCTCTGATAATTTACATTGGGATTAGACATTTTAATACTTTGAGACACCTGAGAGGTTGTATGTATGCATCTGTGTATGGGTGTGGGTGTGTGCTCATTCTTCTATGTGTGTAATTACATACATGTATAGAAGTCACTATTTAATTAGGTATCTTCTTAACTGATCTCCACTTTTCTTTTTGAGACAGAGTCTCTCGCTGAACTTATAGCTCATTTATTTGGTAGGACTAGTAGACCAGAAAGTCCCCTGGCATCCTCCTGTTTCTTCCCTAGTACTGACATTTGTTTTAATGTGTGTTCTTATGGATCAAACTATGTTCTCATTTTTATACAGCTCTGGGTTTTAAATTTGTATTTCAGCTAGAAGCAGTCCATAGAGACTTTGGTTTTGCCTTTTCGGACATCTTGGTGGTTAGTAATTATGTCTCGGAGTGGCATCTGGACCCTGTGAAGGACAGGCTAATACTCTTGGCACTGAGACAGATCCTGTGTACTGCTAATAACTTCTTGGAAGACTTGCCTTTGAACAAAGAGGTAGACTTGTGATCTACGAGCTTGAAGGTATTACCAACTTGGTTAATTTTTTATTTGGATCTGTGGCTTACGTGGTAGATCTGTCTCTGGGCTATTGACATATGAGTTGCACTAACATTTAACTTTTAACCTATACATTTCCTTCCTGCCTTCCTCCTTCATTTTGCAAAATCTGTATAACTTCACTCTTGTTTTAAAAAGAAAATTACAGAATGATACATCCCTTCACTGACTGAAAATAATGTGCTCACCTCTGTCCTCTACTCTCACACTGCTCTTGGGACCTAGAACTGGATTGGATCAACACTGTCTCTCATTGGATGTAATCATAGAGGATCTGTGCTCGCCTTAGGACCAAATGTATCTAAAGATCTAGGAACCAAAAATGGGGTAAATATTGTCTTTTGAGACTGCCCTAATTTGCTCAATAATCATCTTTAGTTGCATCTATTTTCCTGGTAATAACATAACTTTTTGTTTTGTAGTTGGAAGAAATTTCACCATGTGTAAACAGCATGGTTTTTTTTGTATTCATTCCCCATTGTTGGACATCTAGTTGGCTTGCTTCCATCCTTAGCTATTGTAAACAATGCTATAATGTACAAGTGTGAAAGTGTTTTGTGATGATTTTAGGATCTCCTCCACCTCATTGGTTACCTCTTCATTTAGTGTAAATATTATCATTTGTGATTATGGACTCAACTTGTCCCGCAGTATGTTCTATTATCAATCTGTGACTGGCATATGCTGCACTGTTACCATTCAAATGGAAGTTTTGCTTTATTTTATTTAAATCTCACTTCATCACATTAGTGTACTATACCCGCTTCATTGACTGCTAATTCCGGAAGAACTGGGAAAGTCTAATACTGCTAGTTTGCTGTCTGACTCAGCCACCTGGGTTTCTCTAGGTCTCTTTCTTGTGGTGTACTGGCTCATAAGCCAGGGCGAGCTTAGTTCACTTAGCATCCTTCTGGTTGCTTCTCACTACAAACCCACTGAGAACATTTTGTTTCTCTTTTCTTAGGTATCAGAAGGGAAATATTCCCATGTGTGCAAAAAAGAAGGAAAAAAATGTGACAATTGATCATATAGTAACAATTAACTCATCAGCAGAACAATGACAAAGCAGGGAAGAAAAAGGGGGCTGAGGGAGGGAACACATGTATGATATAATAGTCCTTTGATACATAGAAAAATAAGATAAGAGTAACCCAGTTATGAAAATCAACATAATTCCTGTTGGATTGATATTCTGTATTTTTGAAAAATAAAATGCTTTGTTGTTATAAAACCCAAATCTTACTCAAGTAGGTGTCTTTCATTTTCAAATGCTACTGTTGTGACTACGAGTTACAAGTGATAAAAACTCAACCTGTACAACATTAGTAAAAAGATGACTATAACAGAGATCTATGATATAAAAAGTCAATAAAATGATTCCTAATGGTATTCTGCTCTACTCATAGATTGTTGCCTAGCCCAATCGTCATCAGAAAGGCTTCCTTGGGCTGATGATAGGAGCAGATGCAGAGAACCACAGCCAACACTAGGTGGAGAGAAATTAGAGATCTCCACTGGGTCCCTCCTTTTGAAGCTTGGGGAAGCATGCATTTGAGGGGGGTGGAAGAATTGCAGATGCCAGAGGGGTTGAGGACGCCAGGAGAACACGGGGACCTGGCTCAGAGGGTCTCACAGAGACAGAAGTTGCAAGGCAACCACAGGGCATGCATGGGTCTGCACGGGGTCCTCTGCAAACATGAATGGTTGTTAGCTTGGTGTTCTGTGAGACGCCTCTAACAGAATGAGTAGGGACATCTCAGACCCTTTCACCTGCTCATGGGACCTTTTCCTTTCTACTGGGTTGTCTTGCTCAGGCCTGATATGAGTGTTTGTGCCTAGTCTTGTTGTATCTTGTAATGGCATGTTCAGTTCATATCCCTGCTCTTTTCTGAAGGGAAACAGAGGATGAGTGCATTTGGGGGAGAAGGGAGTTGAGAGGTGGGACATGCTCGGTATAGTGAATGGAAGGGGGACTGTGGTTGGGATGTATTGTAATAAATATAAAGGCAAAAGGAAAACAGCTGGGACAACGCAGCCTTGCAGACCACTACAGCTACGGTTTCTACATCTTCTTAGGATCCCCAAGATAGGGCCCTCTACCAGCAGGAAGCAGTTTGGAAAGAACAATGCCCAAATTCCCAAATATTGTTTATAAATGTTTGTTTTCATTTATATGGGGTTGGTTATAAATGGTTAATGATAACAACCAATCTCTCTTTAAAGGTAAAAAGGAGATTATGATATAGAAGTGAATACCTTGTTTTGGAATGGATTTTCATTTATTGATACAATTTAAGGTCAATTTTGTGACATGCATATTTCTCCTCTTGTTTAGGTATTGTGCTTATATAGCTCATTTAAAAAATGTAATGTATAATTAAGTACAGATTATAGATAGTTACCTATGATAGTCAAAAGTTATAGTTAAGTTAGTTAGGTTTTCTAGATATACAGAGATGTATTTGAGATGAATAGGCATTCTTCAAACCTTTCAAAGACCTACAGAATATGGCATTTAAAATGATTTAGGGTTTTCCTAACAGTGAGGCCCAAGTACTCCTGGCAGAAAGGAAGATGGGCATCAAAGAAACTCGTTGTGGAATTTACTTCCAATATGGCAAGACTAGCCATTTGGACAAGATACTGCTCTTGTCTAGACTGTTTGACTCTATGCTGTATAAACTGGACATTCAGAACCCACAGAAAAGTGACTGCTGATTCAAGATGGACATTGCTACAGAATTCTTGCTTCATGTAAGAGTCTGCCAGACAGTCTGCAGGACACAGAGAAAGGTGACTGACAAACTGTCAATACAGGTGGGCAGTTTGAAATTTCTTGCTTTGCTAAAGAGTCTGCCAGACACAGACACTTTGGCCTATAGGCTGAAGATGGAAGATTACAGAAGAACTTCAGGTGACTGACCAGGCTAGTTGTCTCTGTCATTTCTAGAGTTTATTCATATCTTTCTGTGGTATTTGAGGGAGTTGAAGGCAGATAGTTATGGTTATAGTTTTCCTTAGTTAGGATTAAGGATATGTTGCATATAGGACTTTAGACCCATAAAGATAGGATAGATGATGAAATATTTTCTTTAAAGCATGCTAAATGTTAATGGACTAAATATTATTAACTGTGGTTATTATTTGATAACTGTTTTGTTATATATTTTTGCCTTGGTGTGGATTTCCATTGGTGGGAGGAGAATGGTATAGTGGGATGGTAAAAGAGCACCTTATCAAAGACTGCATTTTACAGAGATATTGAGACTTTGGACCCTCTTATTTTGCAGACATAAAGAACTGTTTGGGTTTGAATTTTGTTGTCCTTAAAGCATTCTACACATGTTTATTACTTTTTAACTTTGCAACTGCAAGTAGCTTCCAGCTGAAGTGAGTACCGTATTTAGTTAAGTGTGCAAAAATGCTGAACTCTATGTCTAGTATAAGGTTGCTTATGGGTGGGGAAGTGTATTTAGGGAAGCATAAAGGGGAACAATAGGAACTTTAATAATGCATTAAAGATGCATTTCCTAAAATATGATACGTTTCTTAAAAGTCAAAAATAGGAGCCAATAATAAAGCTGTTTATGTTAATCTGGTAGAAAAAAATTCTGTTAAAGTGTAAATAATGACAACTTGAGCTATTCATGGCTACTTTAGTGCAATCCAACTGGTGGTCAGATTTCTTCCTTTCATGACATCAGGCTGGACCCCTGGCAGGAAAATAAATAAGTAAAAATATAAAATTCATATTTCCCCATGCTGGTGGTTTAAATGAAAATGGGCCCTCTAGGCTCACAAGGAGTGGCTCTATTAGGAAGCACAGCATTGTTGGATGAAGTGTGTACTGGGAGTCAGCTTTGAGGTTTTTAAGTGCTCAAGCTTTCCTTTCTGTTGCTTGCCAGTCCAGACATAGAACTCTCTGCTCCTTCTCCAGCACCATATCTGGCTGCTCACTGCCATGGTACCCACCATGAAGATAATGGATTAAACCTCAGAGCCTGTAAGTCAGCCCCAATTAAATGATTTCCTTTATAGGAGTTGCCATGGTCATGATGTCTCCTCAGCAGCAGAAACCACAACTAAGACATCTTGCCCACCCATCTTGCAGTACTTTTTTTTAAAGATTTGTTTTTAAATGAAACTACTAATAAATATACCACACAAGACTACAAATACCTGCACTGAAAAATGCCAACGAAGGAGCTAACAGCTACTGCCAGGCCGGTACAATAACAAACTCATAGTGTGCTACGTCCCTTTATCGTAAATTTAATTTGATGATAATTGAGAACAAAGATAAAATCTGATAGCTTATGAAAAAGAAATATTTAAAGTTGAATTATCAAATAAATGTCAGGGCTTTTATTTTACATGACATATAATAGATACATTTGACTACAAAAAGGCACTATTTCAAATGGGCTAAATTTTAAAGCAGGTGTAGTAACTTATTAAATGTCTTGGTCATATCTGCCCCCTAGTGGCTGTTGCTGTGCAATGTGGAGAGATGTAGACAAGCTAATTCTGAGGTTTTGTTAAAAAAAATGTATGTAATAATAATAAGGAAAAAAAAAGGACTTATAATTTGAAAATTGTCTACTAGAATAATTTGCTCTAAAAATGATAATAAACACTTGTTTCCCGACAACACTTGAACCATAAAGGTTTGCAATGGATTCTTTTCAGTTATGCAGTCCTAAGTCTAGACTTCCTAGAATGAGCTGCTTCTCAGGGTTATTCAGAAAAACAGAAAAAAAAAATAGAGGTTGGCAGGTAGGGATTGATTGGTATGTGTTGTGTATGTGTGTGTGTGTGTGTGTGTGTGTGTGTGAGAGAGAGAGAGAGAGAGAGAGAGAGAGAACATTATTTGAATTGTGTACATAATTATGAAGATACAGTCCTTAGTAGCCATCTGCAAAATGGATGACTGGGCACTGGCTTTTGGCTGCTCTTACCCTGTGTCTCAGGATCGGAAAATGTTGGGTGTAACTCTCGTTCTGAAGGTCAAGGCCTGAGAACTCAGGGAGTTGCTAGTGTCAGGTAAGATGTGGTTTGAATATGAACAGACTCCATGGGCTTACATGTTTCAACTCTTGGTCCCCAGCTCATGGTGCTATTTGGAATGGCTGTGGCCACTGGGAAACGGAGCTTAGCAATATGTCACTGGGCAGCTGCAGGTGTGGTTTGAAGGCTGTAAGTGTTGACCTTTGAGGATTCTATTAGCCTGGGCTCACTTATTTCTTTTCAACTCCCCGAGTATATAGGCAACATGGCTAGGCAGTTTTCTTTTCCTGCCACCATGCTTTTCCTGTAGTGCCATGAGTGACTCGTGTCTTTACTCAGTCACCTTGTGACACTCTAGGTGCTGCCTTTAGTAGCCATGTCTTGAAATTATTACACTCTATGTCAGTTATTTAGCACAGGCACATACTCTGCTGGAGTGTTTTCATGTCTGGGATTTATCAGTGGGGTTTCTCCACACGATGGATGTTCAATAATATTTTGAAGAGACAGCATGATTAGGAAAAGGTCTGAGGCTAATAGGATGCGACCTATTGACACAGTAAGAGCTAACTGAGATTAGAAAAGCAACCATTTAGCAATGTAGGGAAAGTCAAGAAAGATGAAGCTGGGAAGCAACCTTAGTCACTGGTGTGAGGAAATGATAGGCATTTAGCTACTAAATTAGGAGAACAATGAGAAGGCAAATAACAGTATGAAGACATGGGTCAGCCAACTGGAAATCACCCGCACCTTCAGGACGATATGAGGAGACCAAAGGCTGGAACTTCCTTGGAGGGAGCTGTCACTGCAGCCAGGGCTTCCCGGTGAGAAGTGTGTGTAGGGCTCATTTCCACAGACTTACAACCTGCAGCCCTCAAGCTTCAGAGAGTTGGAGGAACCTGGACATGCCCTCTTGGTCTACACATTCTCTAGCCGCCTCTTCCTTCTCTGACCCAACGCAGGGGAAGAAGAAATAGCTGAAGGATGAGCAAGGGACAGTGTCCTGTTGGGGGACTCTGGTGATGCAGATGACATTGGATGGAAAGGTGAGGATGGGTCAGCGAGGGAAAGCTCACCATTGATAACACTTTCTTTCCTTCCCTAAAACTTTTATTCCAACCTTTCTGCCCCTCTCCACTCCTAAACCGAGGAAGCATGTCCATGGCTTTGAGCAATTTCCTCAATTGCTCTCGGAGCCTAAGAGGCAGGGCCAATTGTTGTTTCTACTAACCCCCATGGAATTGTTCAAGTGGGGGCTTCTTACTGATCTTCACCGAGAATGTCACTTAAAATACCACCTGAATTACTTCTCTTGCTAGTTCTTGCATGATCCTTCTCTTATGACAATGATTTTTATTTTATGGCATTGTGCATTATGGGTATATCCTCTTTCTGATGATGTAAAAAAGAATGGCAATTACTTTGAACAGGAATTTCCACAGATCAAATACTGTTTTTAATGCACTCTTGCATCGCCTACAAAAATGTGGGCATTGTGGGAAAGGATGAACACAGCAATGGAGCTGGGCTTGGCTCTGCCCCATTTTCCAAGGCAAAAGCTTTGCTGTTGTTTGATTTCTTCTTCACTAAAGGAGATTTGCTAAGGTGTGTGTAGCGTGGGTGCCATTTGCTTTCCAAAGAACAGTTCATTGTTAAATCTCTAAAGTGCAGGAGAAAGGTTTTGTTTCCCTGAGAGCCCTTGACAAGAGTCAGCCTAACTTTTAAGGAATTCTCACTTTTTCATCTTTGATTTTTGAGATGAAATGAAAAATATTTATTAAGATTATTTTAAAAGCAGTAGGACTTCAAACAAACATGGCTGGGAGTCCTTGGGAGGAGATATAAGTATAGTAGATAAACTAAAAACAATGCATTATTTCATCCAAGACTCATAAGAAAGATGAGGTGCTCTCTCAACACAGAAAATGTCTATTAAAGCATTTGTGATTTATTGGCTGGATTAGTAACATGCTCTGAATTAGCAGATGTTCTTCAGTTAATCTGAATATTATGGTATTTTTCTAGGCTTTTCTACCTTGGGTGGGTTAGACAGCAAATAATATGGACTTTCAGAGCAGTATTGTCTTACACACATGCACATACACATGTGCACACACGAGCACATGCAATATACACACCCACACATGCACAATGCCATCTTTGC